ACATATTTTTCCTTTAAAATGTTACATTTACTCAGATTAAACTTTTGGTCTGTCATCTATGTTATATTACGAATAAAATATTGACATTTGCCATCTCCACATCATTGCATTCTGTTTTTATTCACAATTTGTTTAGTGTCCCAACTTTTTTGGAATCCGGTTTGTATTTAAAAAAGTATTTATGTTTAACAAAGTGAAGAAAGACCTTTTTTTTTTTGTAAAACTAGTATTTGTTTAATGAAGTCAAGATAGAAAGACATTGTTTTAAATAAAGCAAGTATTTCTTTATGATACTGAAGTAAAAAAATACTACTTAATTTTTTTATAAAAAGTATTTATGTTTAATGAAGTTAAAAAATACCTTTTTTTTAGTATGTATTTTTTTCGTGTAATAGTTTTTAAGTTCAACTTTATATGTCAGGAGATACATTGTTGATGTTACCATTAAAATGCACTTTCAATAAAGTTAGTATTGGCAAAGCTCAATGTAATTTTTATGTTGAGGTGGCGGAGGGTTGTTGTCAGCAGCTGCTGAAAGTAACTAATAAAGTAACGTGAAATCTAACTTAGTTACTTTCCAAATCAAGTAATCCGTAACTTAACTAAGTTACTTTTTCAAGGGCTAATCAGTAACTTAACTGTTACTTTTTCAATATAACTATGTCATCACTGTCAGTAAACCAGCTGGTTATAAGCTCATTTTCAGAATTGAAATTAATTTACTTTGTGCCATTTCCTCCTGTAAAGCTCCTTAGTCATTTGGGATTTTAATAATAATTTAAATTGACAAAATGTGATTTTGATGTATAATTTATATAAGAAACTTTGGGAGAAAGCAATGTTAAAGCTGCTGCCAGTGGCTAATTATGATCACCATGGTAACCACACACACCCATATCTTTCACTCCCAGGAATCAAGCAGACAGAAATGCAGAGTAGAAAGTAAGTCTCAAACAAACAGTCACTAAATTCCTGAAATGGCAGAAGTGTCTAGTTGCCACACATGCACATTTTAAATACTTGTTTTATGTAAGAATTGAATTCAAATTTAAACTTCACCTCCAGTTTTGAATAGAAAATTTTGATCTTGGAGACAATGGAAGTCCATGAGAGTTTGGATGTGTGCACTCAGGGGATTTGAGAGAAAACAAGTCATAGTGATGGGAGACACACTGACAGGAGATGTCAGGGTTTTTAGATAGAAACTGTATAAAAAGTGTGAAGACTGTGGGGAATAAGAAATGTTTGCTGGCAAAACATTTGAAAAGTTTAGGTTAGAAAGTGACCAAAATAACTTTTTCTTTGGTCATTACCAAGCTTTAGAAATCAGGACAGCCTATGGCTGATGACGCCCCCACCCCCCCCAAACCACCACCTTTTTTTTTTTTGTCTTGTAAAATGGGACACTTTTTTTAACAGAGTTGTGAAAAAACAATCTTTAACTAATTTTTTTACAAAATGTGTAATTTATGTTGGTCAAGGCAGCACGGTGGCGCAACTGGTAGAGCTGCTGCCTCTCAGCGAGCAAGTTGCCCCAGCTCAAATCCCGGCCGGGGGCCTTTCTGGGTTGAGTTTGCATGTTCTCTCTGTGCATGCGTTGGTTTTCTCCGGGCACTCCAGTTTCCTCCCACAGACCAAAAACATGCATGTTAGACTGATTGGTAACTCTAAATTGTCCCTAGGTGTGAGTGAGAGAGTGAATGGTTGTTTGTCTCATTTGTCTCTGTGTGTCCCTTTGATGGACTTGCCACCTGTCCAGTGTGTCCTCCGCCTCTCGTGAGTGATGGCTGGACATGGATACCAGTGACCCCCGCGACCCAAAAAGGAAGAAGCGGGTAGAGCTGGGCGATATGGGCCAAAATGTATATCTCGATATTTTAAGATAAATCGCAATATACAATATATATATCAATATTTTTTCTTTCCATAAAGTAATAACAAAAATATATTTGAGTCATAAAGTTTTGTCCCAGTTGTCACACAGCCACATTTATTAACAACACCTGTAACTGTACAAAATAGATGACTAAAAAATAAACTAATTGCATATATCTAAAAAAAAGTTAAGTCTAGTCCTCTGGACATTCAAAAAACAAAAAAAAGCCAAACAAACAAACAAAAAAATGTAGAAACTTTTTTTTTTTTGGTTTTTGTTTGTTTGTTTGGCTTTGTTTTGAGTTTTGAATGTCCAGAGGACCAGACTTAACTGTTTTAGATTTTTCTACCTGGATTATTGAGCATGCATCAGGCTAATTACATATATTAGTTTATTTTTTAGATTCATTCATTCAACATTTATTTAGACAGACAAGTCACATTGAGCCTAGAAGACTCATTTACAAGTGAGATCTGTTTAGACAGAGAAGAAGTAATGAAACTGGGCACATGTAGAAGTTGGAGGCGAAAAAATTCTTATTAAACTTTTTCTTCTTGGCTGAGAAGAAAAACTCTATTTAAAAAACCCTTGCACAAACAAGCACATAGTGACATAGACATTCTGCAGAGGGGGACAACGAGAGCAGTGAGCAATGTCCATGGATGCACTCGAAGGCACTGTAAGAGTTTTGATAAGGATGGAATAATCAGCCAGTTTCCTTTGGTGAGATCCGTAAACATTCTCGAGGGATGTCGGGGAATGCCAAGGACAACACCTATGGAAATCCAAGAGTTCTGAAATGATGACACAATGTTTATTTATTAATTATTATCATTTGGAAATTCCTCGGGTGTGAGTGTCAGATCACATGTTCTCCAGTCAAATTCATATAAGATGGCCTTCTAGGCCAGCCAGGGGAGCCAAATTCAGATAAACACAGTTGTTTTGGGGACAGGCAGAACTTGATGACATCTACCTTGAGTCTGTGTTGGTCCAAACGGTTCCGAAATGTCCAAATTTCATGGCCACACTGATGGAACGTGACTGAGTAAAATCCCCAAGATCTGATCCATTCTGCCCAAAGCATTTGAGTCTGGGTACTCGAGGCATGAACCAAGCCATCATAAAGGCAAGCAGCGTGATCGGGTCCCAATTTGCTGCTGACGACTTCCTCGATTGTTGATAAAACCAGCAACCAGCCAAATCCAAAAAGCAGGGACCAGTTATCGTAAATCCAATTAAATATGCATCCTTAAAATCCTCAAATAGAAGCAGAGATAGACACATCATCAAGTTTTCCAAGTCGATGAGATATCCAGCTGTGTGCGTGCCAACAGGGCAAATCGGCTCGCCCAAAGCCTGTCTTCTCTTTGAAGAAATGTTATCAATTGTGTTGAGGGACCAACTGATCAAATCAAGTCCATAATTATGGTTCGGAAGATATGCAAGAGAGGCTCAGAAGCAGTTTCATAGACACACAGAGCAGCAAAGCGGAGAGGGAAGGTAGGGGAATATCGTCCAACCTGGACAAGAGCAAGTGGTGAAGATATCCATTTACATATATTAAATAATAATCCTCTTCAGCTGGGGGCAGCTGTGGTTGAGAGGCTAGAGCAGTCGTCCTCCAGTGGGAGAGCTGGGGGTTCGATTCCACCAGCAGTCATATTCTGAAGTGTTCCTGGGCAAGACACCGAACTCCTTATTGCCTCTGATTTGTGTCCCATCGGTGTATGAATTTGATTTAAAGCTTTGATTATTCGTTGTAGAGATCTAGTAGAGGGCGTGAGTGGGTAAATGAGGGCACAGATTGTGTAGTAAAGAGCTTTGAGTGTCTTGATAAAATAGAAAGGCTCTATTTAAATACAGTCCATTCAGCTGTGACGCCTTCACGTTAGTAAGCGTGTGTGAACTGTGGTGGTGAGCCCCCACTTGGAACCTTGAAGCTGCAGCTCCGACAAACCTGTCTCCTTCCTTGAAATAAACCACGGTTCAGAACTCATTTAGCCGTGCTGTGCCTTTTAGAGGAATAGAGAGAGGTACCGCAACATTAATAAATCGGCAGCTTTATTATGTCGCTAAGACACGGTCCTGTCTCAGCTGTGCAACAAGACGGTTAAAGCGTTAGCCGTCTTGTTAGCCGCTAAGGACCGTAGCTTTAGAGATATGATAAACTGCTGATTTATTAATGTTGCGCTACCTCGCTCCGTTACTCTAAAAGGCACAGCACAGCTAAATGAGTTCTGAACCATGGTTTATTTCAAGGAAGGAGACAGGTTTGTCGGAGCTTTACACACGCTCAGCTGCTCATGTTTACTTCTGCTAAAGGTCTCCTCTCCTGCCCGCCCACCTCCTGGAGAAGCAGGAAGGGAGTGGGGTAGCGCAGCTGAGGTCTGTGTATTTGTGTTCAAGGAGGGAGGAGGGGGACGAGTGGGAGAAAGAAGACAGCAGGATTTCCAAGTATAAAACTATATTGTTTTATGTTGAGATAGTCTCAACTTATATTGCAAAAAAAATTATCTTGATATTTTTAAAATATCAAGATATCGCCCAGCTCTAGAAGTGGGTAAAGATGATGGATAATATTTAACAACCCACATGCAACTAACGATCTATTGAACAGTGTTCTTACTTTAAAACACTTGAGTTGTGAGCTACAGGAAGCTGGTTGTTGTAGCAGTTGTTGCATCTAATAAATACACACAGGTATGGCAGATTATCATTTGAAGTATCAATTATCAGATGATTAATTGATCTATCTTTAGAGAGTTCAAAGGTCAGTCACATAATCACACTCAAGTTGAACATTTAGTCAAATTTCTACAAAATGAGAAGAATGCCTGAGCTATATAAGTTCCAAAGGAGGCTTGGTTTTCTTACATTTGTCAATTAGTATCAAGAGAACTATTTATGCTTATTGGCACACCTAATTAAATAAACTTTTTTTTCTTCTTTCTGCCAGTACTTACCATGGAGAGACAGCAGATGTAATCTATTGCTGTGAAGTCTGCCAGCAGACATTTGCTCACCACAGCAGCTTGAAGCTCCACGTAAAGCACGTTCACAGCACTGAGAGACTTTTTGAGTGTGACATTTGTGCAAAGACCTTTAAACGAAAGAAGGATGTCGCCCACCATAAGAGACAGGTGAGGTGTAAATCTTTGCATGCTTCCTTTTAGTTTTCTCAAAGTCATACGGCTGGGTGATTTTCACAGAAAAATTTAAAGCAGAAATTTGTCCCAGGTGCATGAACAAAAACAACAATACTTGTGCCCTGAGTGTGGGAAGACGCTCAGCTCCAAAGCTTCTTTGTGGGTGCACGAGAAAACTCACACGGGCATCAAACCCTACGAGTGCACCAAGTGTCAGGCCAGATTCACCCAGAAGTCTTCCCTCAATATGCATCAAAGGTAAACTGTTCTTTGTCGCTTGAACCTGCTGCTTTGTCACAAAACAAGTTGAACGTTTCTTCTTATGCCTTTTTCTTATGCCTTAATAAAACAAGAGGTGGTGTATTGTGAGGGGAAAGCTTAAAGATATTATTGGTAATTGTTTTGTCCCTTTAATAGTAATAATAATAATAATAATACATTTTATTTGTATAGCGCTTTTCTAAATACTCAAAGATGCTTTACATGAGTAAAAAATAAATTAAATCAACAATGCATAACACATTAAAAACACAGTAAAACATTTAAAAAGGGCAAATTTAAACATTAAAAACTATTTTAAACAGGTGGGTTTTGAGTTCTTTCTTAAAAGTGGAGAGACTGGAGCAGGCACAAAGCTGTTGGGGTAGTGACTGAGTTCCAGAGGGTGGGGACAGCGATGGAGAAGGCTCTGTCTCCCCAGGTTCGGAGCTTGGTCCTACAGGGGAGAGATAGAAGGTTGGCATCGGAGGAGCGGAGGGAACGAGAAGGAGTGTAGTGAAGGAGTAGGTCGGTCAGGTATGGAGGGGCCAGATTATGGAGGGCTTTGAATGTGATGAGGAGGATCTTGAAATGGATGCGCTGAGTGGCGGGGAGCCAATGGAGTTTCTGCAGGACAGGAGTGATGTTCGCGGGAGTGGGTGTGGGTGAGAAGGCGGACAGCAGAGTTTTGAATATATTGTAGTTAGTTGAGAGTTTTGGATGGTGTACCGTACAAAATGCTATTGCAATAGTCGATTCTGGATGTGACAAAGGCGTGGATTAGGATTTCAGCAGTGGAGAAAGTGAGTGATGGGCAGAGTTGTGCTATGTTTGTGAGATGGAAGAATGCAGTCCGAGTTATCTGTTTGACATGTGATTCGAATGAAAGAGTGGAGTCGAGAAGAATACCAAGATTACGAATGAGTGGGGATGGAGTGAAAGTGATGTTGTCAAAGTTGAGGCAGAAGTTTTGAGTGAACTTGGTAACACTGTTTGGACCAATGACGAGTATGTCAGTTTTGTCAGTATTTAATTTGAGAAAACTGTGCTTCATCCAGATTTTGATGTCAGTTAAGCAATGGGTGAGGGTGGAGTGGATGTTGGGTTTTATGGATGTAGTAGAAATATAAATCTGTATGTCATAAGCATAGCAGTGAAAATAGAGGCCATGACGACGGATGATATTACCACGGGGGAGAATGTAAAGGATGAAAAAGAGAGGACCAAGCACTGAACCTTGGGGAACACCCTGAGATAGAAGGGTTATGGAGGAGAAGCAGCAGTTGATGTGAATAAACTGTTGCCGCTCTGTGAGGTAGGACTGAAACCATGACAGAGCAGAGTCAGTCATGTTCAGGTTGGACTTGAGACGGGAGACTGACAGTATCAAAAGCTGCAGTGAGGTCCATGAGGATGAGGATACTAAGCTGGCCAGAATCAGAGGAAAGGAAGAGATCATTGGTAACTTTGAGAAGAGCAGTTTCGGTGCTGTGTTTTGGACGGAAACCAGACTGGAATGGTTCAAACAAGCTTAGTGTTAGGTTTTTCTCGTACCTAGAAATATAAAGAACCACACAGGACAACAGAGTCAGATTTTCAACCAAGCTTTTTGCAAAAAGGGAAGTATCACAGAAACAACCTCTAAAGCTGAATACTGTGAACTCTGAAGGATTTCTGCATCAGCTCGTCTTTTTATTGTCACACAGAAAGAAGTGAAAACTGGACATCTTGATTATGCAGGCAGTTTAGATTACACAACAAGGGCAAGGTGATCTTAGAACATTTTGATTAAACGCTTACAGTAATGAGTTTCTGATACCATTTGTATCAGTTAAATTCTGCTTCGTACGCACAGTTAAGAGAAACAATGACAGTGTGAGATTGATAAAATATGAGTTGATATGTATAAACCTTGATCATTTCAGGTGTAGAATAATAAGTGGGCAGTCACCAACTAGTTCCTGGAGTTGGTGAAATATTGCGTCTTTGTTTGCAAATTACTTCGCCTTGGTAACTTGAAATGCCAATAAAAGTAATAGCACACATCACAGGGCCGAGCCAGTCGTTTTGATATAACTTTTGTGGGGGTAGACTTTGTGGTTCGGGCCGTATTAACGGAGATAGAAATGTAGACTCACTTCCGAGGTGTAGAATAATAGGTGCCTGCCATGCATTTGCATGGCAGTCCCCAATGAGTTCTGAACTGTGGGTTGCTTCAAGGAAGGAGACATGTCTGTCGAAGCTTCACACACGCTCATCTGCTGTGTTTACTTTTGCTAAACGTCTCCTTTGCTGCCCGCCAACCTCCTGGAGAAGCAGGAAGGGAAGGGGAGCATGGCTGAGGGCTGTGTATTTGTGTAGGAGTACAGGAGGTAGAAGGAGTGGGGCTGCCTGGGAGAAAGAAGATGGCAGGATTTCAAAGTATACAACTATATCGTTTTATATGGAGATAGCTCAATTTATATAGCAAAAAACAATTATCTGGATATTTTAAAAATATTGAGATATCGCCCAGCCCTAAACAAGCTATTGGAGTTGAAGTGGGTCTGAAGTTGATCAGCTATGACTCGCTCTAAAATTTTAGACAGAAAGGGAAGATTGGATATAGGCCGGAAATTTATGAAGTTTTCAGGTCAAGACCAGGTTTTTTTAGTATTGGGGTGATGGCTGCCAACTAGGAATGTTCAATATATATGGTACACGGTAGAAACGATAGAAATTTAGCCTACGATAGAGATCTGTCTTCTACTGGTTAACCGCAGTAATGTTGTGTCTGATGTAAAATCAGAGCTGTCAGATATAATCGTTACTTTTTTTGAGTTGAAAACTGTATGTCAGTGGTGTTAGTCTTTTCTTTGAGAGCTAAGTAGCGAAGCTACAAGCTAACTACGGCCGGCACGTCGTAGTGTTGCCGTATTCGGACGCATGCGCAAAACGCTGAGTTCCGTCAAAAGTTGTTTTTTTTTTTTTGCGTCGAAAGTTAAAGTAAGCGTTGGTCAGCTTTAGAGAAACCTGCTCTCTGATCTGTGAAAAGAACTCTGTGTTGTGTGATTTTACTGCGAGACCCTCTGGTCAAAGCCACAGACTCATTTTGTGTCAGCTCTCCATTAAAGCAGAAGGAGGCGCCCACTAGAGGGTTGGAGGGTGAAGTGTTTCAGTGTAAAATGCTGCTCTGTTGCTGTTCATTTATTAAGTGAAAATACTGGAAACAGTTAACAACATATTCTTTTGTTTAAAACATATGGCTAAAACTACATTTGATATTGTTTGCACTGTTTTGCACTACAAGAAAGAAGCCTAATACTTGATTTGTTTATTATTTAAAAACTCTCTGGACCTAGTAGTGTAATTTTCTTAATTGAGATTATTTTGTGGTATAGCAGTTTTCAAAATAAATGATGGCAAAAGGACACCCTATGCTTTTTTTTACATTCCTATTGCAAGTTTTATACCAAAAACATATTGTGGTATATATCATTATCGCCACCATTCACAATACATATTGTGATATGAATTTTATGCCATATCGCACATCCCTACTGCCAACTTTAGAGACTATGGAAAGATCCAGAAATAAGTGAGGAGTTGATGATTCTTGTGATCAGAAAATAGACTATGGGGAGACAACTTTTGATGAGAGGAGAGGGAATGGGATCTAAAGAGCAGGTGGTAGCTTTGATACCAGACAAAAATTTAGTCAGTTGAGCAGAGGAGATTGGAGTGAAGTGTGAGAGCTGCTGAATGGAGCTGGAAGGAGGTGAATTTGGAGGAGAAGAGGTGAAGATTTTTTATTTTCAGCAAACTACAAAATAATAACTTTTATCTACATTTGAACAGTTGTAGACATTTATTTCACATTAATGTAATATCTATATATCTATATATATATTAAGTGTATCCTAATGAGTGACATAGTTGAGAGCTAAATATCTTGTTTTATCCTGTATAGGATACACACCGGAGAGAGACCGTTTGCATGTAATGAATGTGATGCCCGCTTCACTGAGAAGCACATGTTGGTCCGTCACAAGAAAACACACTCAGGTTAAAGAGACTTTAGTATTCTTTGATGAGGATGTTGAAAAATTTTATTTGTTGCATTTTTGTAGCTGTAGCACAATCAAAACAATAAATATTTAAATATAAAAAGGTAACAATCTACCAAGCATTCATTTATTTATTTTTTTTTCCTTTTAGGGTTAAAGCCCTACATGTGTAACGCCTGTGGGAAAAATTTTGCGTCTAAAGAATACCTTAAACACCACTTCAACATCCACACTGGCTCCAAGCCTTTTAAATGTGACACTTGTGAAAGAAGCTTTGGTCAGAGGAACTCCCTCAGAGAGCATTTAAAAATACATACAGGTAAGACATTTACTTTCATATGTTTAAGTGTACTTTTAAGTTATTGACTTCCTACTGGTAACAATAAAACGAATGCGTTCTGTAGGTGAGCGTCCGTACAAATGTACAGTATGTGGTAAACAGTTCACTCAGCTCGGCGCTCTCCAGCGGCACCAACGGATCCACACGGGAGAGAAACCTTTCATGTGTGCTCTCTGTAAACGAACTTTTACTGACCTGTCCACCTTTCGCAGGCACACTTTGGTGAGTTGGTGCTTCTTCCTCTAGTACTGTAACATTGAACGGTATTTTGTACTCTAGGCAGCACGATGGCATAGTTGGTAGAGCTGCTGCCTCTCAGTGAGAAGATTAGTGCAAATCCCAGCCGGGAGCCTTTCTGGATGGAGTTTGCATGTTCTCTCCGTGCATGCATGGGTTTTCTCTGGGTACTGGTTTTCTCCCACAGACCCAAAACATGCATGTTAGGCTAATTGGTAACTTTAAATTGTCCCTAGGTGGGAGTGTGTGTGTGTGTGGGGGGGTGGGGGGGTGGGGCGGCGGGGGGGAGGGGAGGGGGAGGTATGTAAGGTAGAAGTAGTAACCCTTTAAAAGAAGGGAACAATATTTATGCCATTACTGCTTTGACATAGTGAATACTAGTGCATGTTTATTATCATCTAATTGCACAACAAGCCAACTTGTTAAAATGACACCATCTTGTTTAAATTTAAGGTTCATGATGTAGAAGCTCCATGGAAGACCTACCTGGTGATGCTGAAGGGAAATATTGAGGAAAAGAAGCCAAGGTCTCCCACTGAGGAAAATGCAGAACAAGCGGAACCAGGGAAGAAAACTTGTGAAAGTCCAAGTGCTCCTGCTGTTTCTACTCCAGCTGTTTCTACTCCAGCTGTTTCTACTCCTGCTACCAGTTCTGCTCGTGGTGCTGGTACTACCCAAACTGAAACAACTGTGGTTCCAACTGAGTCGGTCACTCTCCCATCCGACTGGACCAGTCATTGAGCCATTGCTCTGGTCAACCATGGTGCTCTTGGTGATATCACTGTCGTCCACACAGAAGTTCCAGCAGGGACGCAGTTCCAGCCCATAATAGCCACTAACAACTAGGGCTGAATGATTTTGGAAGATATTCTAATTTAAATTTTTTTACCTCAATGACCTTACCTTGCGATCGCAATTTAATATGCAATTATTTTTCAGTCTTCTTCTCGTGTATTTTTCAATGAACACAAGCAATAAATCAATCTGTCTCAGTTGCAAAAAAACTCAACTGTTTTCAGCTCCGCTGCAACTAAAATGTGAGTGCAAGGGCATTCTGAACCACTTATCCATTGTGTTTACCAAAGCCGTATGTATTGTGAAATTCTTTATCAAAAGGGCTCGTGAAACGGTCGGCACAGATATTCAGACGATGGAAAAAATGACACACAGAAGCTGTTACTGCTAGGATAAATTAGTGTCCTTTATTATCCTGCCACAGAGAACAGCCAAGCAAAAAACATGTACACTCTTAACACACAGATTGATATGAAATAACTTCTCACCGTGACACTGGCCGGGAAGTCGTTTTCGACCCAGGTAAAGGAGAATCACATCAAAATGGCATATGGCATTCAGCGCGTGCTGATCCACACCGGACTTCCAACTCTCTGTTGTCTGATACATTTCTTATAAAGGCTTCCCTGATCGCGTGAGAGCAGATCAAAGCAAGTTTTGATGATTGCCAGGAGAACAGATTTAATTAAATCTGTTTTTCCTTCATCAAAGTAGTCTGTGCAACAGAGCGATGGTTTCATAAACATGTCCTTCAAAACCTGGGTCACTGTAACCTTAAGATTGGGCCCCAATCTTCTGGCTAGAGCATCCCCCGGAGGACTTTAATTACTCCAAAACACATCTGCAGCACAGGAATGACTGAATAAGCAGATAAGCTGCATCAAAAGTGAGTATAAGTGTGTTTAAATAAGTATAATATAAGTCTAGATTGACATAAAAGCATTAAAATAATAATTTCTATATCACCGTAAAACCAGGCTTGGTCACTATATTAATGGACATTATGTCTTTTGCTATGAACTCAGTTATTGCTTAAGTTATTTCCACGTGCAGTTTTTAATTAAGTTCATACGGAGTAATACCTTTGAACTAGGGATGCACAATATTGGATTTCTGGCCGATATCCAATATGCCGATATGTTAAAACTTATTTGGCCGATAACCAATACTGATACCAATATTTTATATACTTTCCTTTGTCTGAACATAGCCCTCTTATTTAGTCTTATTTGCTACAAAAATTGTGCAACAGCTGTAAGAGCTGGTGACATATTCAGTAACAACCATATGATATGCATAGCACTTTAACTTATATTAAATAAAAAGTGTTGAATGTTATTTATTAGCATTAGTCACCTGCGATGCTGTCTCACTTGTGGAGGCTTGTTCCAGGTTCCTAGCTGCAGTGTGGGCTCCTCTGCACTCCTGTGCATGAAGGACAGTCTTTCAAAGTTTCTGTCTATCCATTGCGCCATAAGACTAATCATGCTAACGGGGCTAACACAACGTCCAAATGTCTGTGGTAAAACTCACCCAACAAGTTGTGCTATTAGCTTCTCAATGATGTCGGAAATGACGGCTTGTAACTTGGGTAACGTTACGTCGGAAAAATATCTCAGACTGGGGACGATGTAACGAGGCTCAATATAATCCATAAATCTTCGGAATCTGACGTCCTCACCAACGAAAAATAAAACTTCCACACTGCCAACATTTTGAATCTCCACCGTGAGATCGGATATGCGCACGTGACGTCCTTGTGTTGTGCTGCAACATCATCACGTTGTGCTGCCACTGCAGGCAAAAACAGTGTCTTTTATATCAGTGAGTTATTTTAATGGAATGGCCTATGTTCGATATTGAACTTTTAACGCTAATATCGGTCGATACCGATACCATTCTGACAATATTGTGCATCCCTACTTCGAACAGTTCAGTCAGTGATCCCTGTCCGCTGGTACTGTGCTTACTTGAAGTTGAAGCAGTGGTCGTTGACATTGTAGCCATGCAACTATCGTAAATGGCTTTGTGGTGTTTTTGTAAGTGTTGATAAAGATTTGTGGTGTTACCTTGAGAGGCAGCAACAGCAGCAAGACAGCTTATACATGTTGTTGCGCAGCGTCTTCTTCTTTATAGCCAAAATAATTCCAAACAACGAAGGTGCTGCCCCTCTTTGGTACCAAACTTTCAGATGTGTCAACTTCTGTCGAGCCTGACGCCATTCTGCAACCAGTGCACAAGCGCAGTGTTGACTTCTCCCACTCCCTGATCTGCTTTGCTCTGCTCCGCTCACTCACAAGTCACATGACCAGTGAAATTTCAACCTTTGCAATTAGAAAACCTCGTTTTATCTTATCTCGATATTATTGCAAATGCAATCAACTGTTCAGCCCTACTAACAACACAGGAATGAGCGTCATTTCCTTAGACGGTTCAGCCATCCCTGTGCCCTTCTCTTTACCAGTATCAGTGACTCAGCCTGTCTCCCTGTCCTCTGAAGCATGTTCCACGTCTCTGTCTCTACCCACTCTCTCAGTTCCTGTCTCTGATACTTTGTTAACATCAGTCTCGGGCATCTCCACTTCATCTGCGCTCGAAGCAGCTGTATCTCAGGCTCATTTGGCTTCAGATTTAGAAAACAAATCTAACTCTGCAACTGATCCTTTACTACCAGATATACAGACTGTGGTTGTTGATAACAAGACTACAGGAAAAGAACTGGATGTTGATAAAAGTGATGGACAGCATCAGACGGCAGACGACCCCTTAGATGAACAAAAAACAACACAGCTCCAGTAACAGATTGATGTATTCCTAACTTGTTTTTATTAATGCAATAAAAAGACATAATTGTCTAATTATTGTGAGGCAACACGCAGCACATCTTGTTTTATAATGTAACACAGTTTTCTGTCAATTGCAACATCATGTTCAAGTCTGAGGAACAGTTTATACCCTGAAGCTGTTAGACTCATTAATCCCTAATCAGGATTATCACTGTGAAAAAAAAATCACTGTAATGCCACTTGATTGTTGTTATGTTCTGCTGACTATCCATGTTGCTGATCTTATGCTGCTGATTATTTGATCTATTATTTCATGCTGCTGTGTTCATTCGTCCTCATCTTCTCACACAGACTCATGTTTGTGCTGCTGTTGTTCAGCGTATTGTTTTTGTACTATTAGTGCTTAGTGTATTCTTAGTTTAGCATATTTTACATCTTATTACTGTTTTTCTTTACAATTTATACTTTTGTTGGATGTAACTGGGACCCTGTTTACACAATTTTGTTCCACCACATGTACCACATGTGGTGTGAATGACAAATAAATAAACTTTGACTTTGATGTCTAGTTACAGATTTCTTATGGCATATAATGAATAATTTTAGAGCCAAATGTCAATACTTTCATGGTCATGCTTGTTTAGAGCAGCTTCTTGCATGTATATTCCTGCTGCCAGATTCTGTTCATGGATGCTGAAGCAAAGATATTCATGATCTGTCAGATATTTAAGATTCACATCTGTCCATCTGATTTTTCTGATGTAACACTCTAATTAAATAATGTACAAAATTCAACTTCTGGCTAATGGCGATGTAGTGTGAGTTGTTTTGATGCGCTCCTGCAGAGTTGGCTTTTTTTTAAATATTATTGGGCACTTTTTCCTCTATTTTGACCTCAAGTGATTTCAAAGTCATTTTTACATGGTACACCTTTTTTTCTGGTCACTAAAATGCCACCAAAGTCGATTAAATGAGGAAATTCGATCCGGCCTCACCTGCAGCTGCTTTCTCATGATGAAACCTCCACCTGTGCTGGGTCGTCTCTGTTGCCAGAGGCTGCGGCCCAGACCGACACAATAACCTGTATGCCACAAGTAGTGGTGACGTACTTCTGTTTAAAATTAGGCCACATCGATCACTTCCGGTTGCTTGTTTTTAGTGGTAGATGTAAGAGTTGTACCATGAAGAAGACACAGACGTTAAAATATCTCTGCACTACAAGTACAACAACTGAGTTTTGTTGTGTCCAGTGAATAGCAGCTACAATAAAGTGCTTAGTTTTTTCCATTTTCCTGCTGATGCAGAGTCAAGGTGACAGTGGATCATGGCTGTCCGCAGGGAAGACTTAGCCATTAAAGCTCACACTGGGATTTGTAGGAAAATAATGCTCTCTGGGAGGATATACACCGGCTACGGGAACAAGTTGAGAGCCTGACGCTGAGGCAGCGATTCATCGTTTTGCTGCATCTGACGAGGACATTAGATTCTTCACAAGGTAAGTCTTAACACACAGCACCTTAACATTTTTGGAATGGGATTGTTTCTTTCTGGATGGATGCTTTTTGCTCAATGCCAACTCAGTATTACCTTCAAAGTTTCCACTGTCTTGGAAAATGGCTGTTGGCGTTTACATCTTTAAGGGCAGGATAGTCGGAGAAAGTCACACTTACTGAGAATTATTGGATTTGGTACCTGGATGATTGAGCATGAACTTTGTTGCCTTGAACCACTTTGGCTGTGGCTGCCTGCCTGGGAGGAGTCGACGAGGGACAGGACAGGCCCCAGAAACCATCTTAGCTCCAGCAAACTGGTTGGTCCACTTAAGGAGTGTACTGCTTGGTGGGGAAACAGTTTACTGGAACTCCTCTGAATGAGGAAGCCCTCCGGATAGAGGGCGAAACGTTTCTATAAAAAAGAAACTGTCCATGTGACCCGACTGAGAATTTCTGGACTAAGTGGGCCTCATATTTGTTATTTTTTTCATTTACCTTTTATTTATACAGGTAGTCTCACTGAGCCAGGAGAACTCATTTTCAAGAGAGACCTGTTTAGGGAGCAGATGGTGGGGGTTGAAGGCCTTGCTCAGGGACCCAGAGTGGGGCAAATGAGGGTGGAGGCAGGTGTGGGTGTTTCACCTTTTCTACCCACATTTTGATGTTGTTGATGGTACCAGGAGTTGAACCTGTGACTTTCCGATCACAGGCCCATCTTCTCTAGCCTCTACGCCACCTGAAATTATACAAAAACGAGAGAAATACTCATTACTGCTCTGTGTCCTTGTTGTGTATCTGCGAGGACTGGCAGGGCCGAGCAAGGAACGCACCAAAGCCAGGTCTCTTGTAAATGAGTCCTCATGGCTCAATGGGATTAATCTGTCTAAATAAAGGTTGAATGAATGAAAAAAACCGTCTCAGTGGACGTGCTGCCCTCTGGTGGGATAACAAGGTACATCAACTCAAATCAATGGATATCCTGATGCATGCTCATGTCACTAATAAAACAAAACAATGTACAAGTCTATGGGTGCGCACTCCAAACACTCATACTGTGGTCGACCACTAGAGGGCTCTACTCACAGGCAGATGTCAGGATGTTTTGTTGTTAAAAATGGGTAAAAAAAATTACATATGCAAAATGTATTTTTTTATCAGAGCTCAAAAGTATGCTATTCTAAGGGTTTTATAATAATTTTGCTGTTGTTTATGTGTAATGCCTTAATAAATGAATGTTTATACCCTTCAACAAAGGCCTCTGTTTTATACAATGTAGTGGGTTGCCAGTTGGGCTTGTTTTCATAGAGCTGGTTGCTTGTTTGTATCGCGATATCTGGCAACACCGTTCCTACCGGAAGTACCTCCCGCTGATCGGTCCGTTTGTTTACGGCTGTAATTTTAGCGAGTTTACGGTAAGAAAACTTGCTTGGTGTTGTTTAGTTATCTGTCTGTTACGGTCATCCATCCACTGTGTTGCAGTGATGGAGTCTGGCTTTCTAACACGATTCCTGCATTTATTTGTTTATTGTTGACTGTAATTTTAGCCTCGATGCTACTACTGTTGTTAGCATTCAGAGCTAGTAGTAGCTAGTTTGATTTAAATGACGTGTTTGTTAAAGCTTCGTGCAAACACCGAGACATTTAAAACATACTTATATGATTGTGCAAACGTGAAAGTTTTACTAAAAATAATTTAGTAAGGACTTTTCTCGAGTCAGATGCAAAAGCGGAACAACATTTCATCAGAGCAAAAATACAGTAAAACACCTTTATCTGACTCTGAAAATACATCAAAAGCAGCCAGATTTAATTATAATCATTAATATAATCTTTAAAAGTGGTTTCCAGATTTTTTTGATGGTCTTTTGCCGTTTTTCCTTTGACTGCTTCTTCTAGGGGGGTTTGTACAGTGTTAATTACTTTTACTTCCAGTAATTCACAAGCCAGTTATCTATTTAACAAAAACTACCACTTTATTGATGAAGCACTTTAAAGCAACCTTAGCTGCATGTAACATTAAACAACATTTTAACTAAGTTTAAAAACAGTTAAAGCAATAAACCAGAAGTAAAATAAACTAATTCAAGTCTCAGGCTGTACCAAAGTCCAAGTGTATGTGTTTTTAGAGTTTTAAAAGTGGACAGAGGTGCTTGTCTGATGTGAAGTGGGAG